ATATACTATATATACTATATATACTATATATACTATATATACTATATATACTATATATACTATATATACTATATATACTATATATACTATATATACTATAGAAATCTTCGAATATTATTTTTGTAGCAAGTAGGCCATGATAAAATTTAATTTGGCAACACTGGCTGTCAAATAAATAACACAATTTTATAGTCAATTGTCATTCATTTGCCACGCGGTATAAAAATTGACAATTATTTAAATTCTTCAATGTTGCCAACTTATTTTATATACAGGACCGAACTATTTTTTTTAGAGCAACTTCTCTACACAGAAATACTTTTTTATTCCTTTGCTTGTTTTTGACTCTAAAATTAGTCGAACAATTTTTAGGAATTTAATCAAATTTGTTGGGAATTATGTGGAATTATTAAAATTATGTTAGGATTGTTTGGAATTAATGGATTCTTTTTAGAATTATCAGAGATAGTTTCTTTTGAAAATTTTATAGAACTATTGAAATAATTTCAAATTAGAGAAAATATTTTATGCAAGGGATCGTCGAAAAATGTACAAGTAGTAACCATAAGATACATATTTTTCATCAAAATTAACTTGTAAGTAAAAAAAAACGTAAAAAAATAAAAAAAAATATTTCAATGAGTAAAAAACTCGGACTCGGCTCGTTTTATAAACTTTATCTTTGTGAATAATAACAAAATAACTCCATGTAGGAGTATCTTTTTCTTTTATCATTAAAATTCTCAAATTTGTTTTCATTAAAATAATTTTGAAATATGTGAGAAGTTCCATTTTTCCAGGACCGGCCTCAATCGTGTGAATATGAGATTAGATTATAAATAGAAATTAAAATACAAAATAATATTTTGTAATTACAAGAATTAATTTAAGAATTAATCTAAAAACAATGAATACGATGAATTATTGAAATTACTAGAATTATATGTAATTACTGGATTTTTTTTAGAATTATCGGAGATGATTTCTTTTAAAAATTACGTTAAATTTTTTGGAACTCTTAGAATTATTTTGGTATTACAAGAATTATTTAGAAAGTTATGTTGGAATTTCAATAGAATTTCAATGAATTGGAAATAAATACACATTTTTTCAAGTTAACGTCCTCTCGGTTTTTCTAGAATTACGATTTTTTTTAATTGCGGTTGCAGTGTCAATTTAATTACAAAATTTTTTTTTTTATTACAGGACCGTACTCAACTAATCTTTGAATAATATGACCGTGTTTTCGTGTCAAGTAGGTCATGATAAAACCTTAATTTATAGTCATTGTCATTCTCAGTATTGCCAATAGTTAGATTTTTTAAAGGTCTCAACTTTTTAAAACTGTTTCAATATTGCCAACGTTATAAACAGATTATTTTACTAATTTACTCAATTTTTTTTCTACAAGAGTTTATCGAATTTTATCTTTAAAATTATTTTTTTTTAGTTCGCACTAACAAATTTTAGTTTTGAAACATCAACTATGCCTTGGAAATTTTCAAGAAAAATCATTTTTTGGTAAAGTGTTTTTTATGGGCAAATATAACAACAAAAAGTTATTAAGAAAAGTAGTTTAGGCCCTTATATGTACCAAATTTTTTTCATTTTCTTTTGTAAAAAAATTACAACTTTCACCATTTTTTTGTAATTTTTTTATTCATAAGAAAACTGTTAAATATAAAATTCATTGATTTGTAAAATAAACTGGTGATTTTGAAATTTTCCATCATGGCCAACTTACTTACTTTCAACGTTATAAAGAGATTGTTTTACTAATGTACTACACAGGACCGTACTCAAATTTTTTTTTTCCAATTTCAGCTCCAAAATTATTTTTTTTAGTTCTCACTGTATACGTATTTCTAGTTTTTAAAAATCAACTTTTTTTCGGTAAAGTGCTATTTATGAAGCAAATATATCAAAATGTTATTAAGAAAAGTTGTTAGGTCCTTATACCAAATTTTAAAGTCATCGGCCAACTATGATTTTTTATTTTCTTTTAAAACTTTTTTTGTAATTTTTTTATTCATAATAAAAGAACTGTTAAAAACAAAATTCTAATAAACAAAAAAAAGAAATGATTTTGAAATTATTCAATGTTGCCAATTTACCTTCACGTTATTAACAGATTGTTTTACTAATTTACTATACAGGGCCGTACTCAATTTTTTTTCTGCAAGAGTTTATCGAATTTTAGCTTTAAAATTATTATTTTTTACTTCGCAAAAATCAACTATGCCATGGAGATTTTCAAAAAAACTTATTTTTCGGTAAAGTGCTTTTTATGTGGAAAATATAACAAAAAGTTATTAAGAAAAGTTGTTTAGGCCCTTATACCAAATTTCTCTGTGATTTTTTTTGTAGACAAATTACAACTTTTAACATTTTTTTTCATAATAACAGAACTGTTAAAAATAAAATTCTTTGATTTGTAAAATAAACTGGTGATTTTGAAATTGTTCAATATTGCCAACTTACTTTCAACGTTATAAACGATTGTTTCACTAATTTACTATACAGGACCGTACTCTAAATTTTTCAAAATTCTTTTTTTTAGTTCGCACTGTATTAGTTAATTACCTATGATCCCTGAGATGGTCCTGTCTCCGGAAGGCCTTCCCGCAGATGTCACACGAATAGGGCCTTTCATCGGTATGCGTCCTCTCATGGATCAACAAATTGTAGCTTTTGGTAAATTGTCGATTGCAGTACTTGCAGATAAACTGTCGTTTAGGCTTGAGTTTCCCCGCCACTAATTTGGGCTGTAGCGGCGCCCTCGGGGGCCCCCTGAACTGCAACTTGTACAGGGCCGCATTTTGCAAGTACTGGTAGTAGTAGGGGTTGTACCAGGGTTCGCAGTAGCTCGGGGGTGGCGAGTAAGTGCTATCAGCCTCTTGCTTGACGAACCCTTCAAGTGGATGTAAGTCGGGGGAGTAAGTAAGTAAAAGCGACTTACCCGACTTGGGTATTTGGTAGGTGTCGTAAGTGGGATTAATGTTCATTTTTGTCACAACCACTGCAACAACACTCAAGAACTAACTGATCGGTTTGGAGATGTCTAGGGGGGCTGATAGTGGGGGTCGAGGTTGGGCCCGCCTCTGTGATTAAATGGGAGGTGTGCGATTCGCTGGTGTTGTGCGCAGGGTTGGTGCAGGGTGAAGGAATCGATGCTACTGTTCAAATAGCGATATCGGGTAATAAAGTCGCGGTGAGATCAAAAACAACGCGAGGATTTTTTGAGTATTACACGAAAGCGGTGGCTTTGATGAGAGTGAGACAATTGAGCGGCGTTTTTGAGGAGTTGTGGCGGAATTGCTTTGATTAAATCGAGACTGTTTGGCTATTTTTGAGGATGATTCACGAGAAAGACAGTTTCACAACAATTAGGTGTTTTCTCAGAAAAGTGAAATTTAGTTCACTAAAAATTTTTATCATTTGAAAGCTTATACTTGTATGTAATTTTATCAGTTTTGAATCAACATTGAGTGTGATACTTCGATTGTTGACAGTTACCGAAAAGAAAAACAAGAATTGAACAATAAAATTAAATGACGGAAACACTTGAAATAGCATCTTGAAACGAGTGGATGAGATACTACTTAAAATGATAATAAAAAATTTTCACCTTCCAAAATTAAACTTTCTTTAATTAATTGTTTCGATGTTTGGTATGATTCATGAGAATAATAATCACATGAGCTTGGATATACAAAGTGATCGAAAAACTAGTCAAATTAAAACGGATTTTTTTCAGTGCTGTGACTGAAAATAACTGTTTATGTAAGAAATTTTAAGTTTTCCATGATGTAGAAAGTAGATTTTTTAGACGGGAAAAAATTGAACTAGAAAACTCTTCACCACAAGGAAAAAATTGTAAGATTTATGATAATTTTATTACGAAAAGTTAAATTCTCGTTCAGAATTACTATAAAATAATCTGACAACAACAAAAATTGGATTTTGTGTTTAATTTTTCATAAAATTAGTGGATTTGAGCTCATAAAACTGAAGAAACATTAATTTATTGTCAAATTTTACTCTCAATTTACAAAAAGTAATTTCAACAATTAGAATGATGCATTTATTGCAAATAATAAATAGGAATAGATTAGAATTTTTTTGGTAATTTTTTAACTTTAAAATGTGTTAATTTTTTGCTATATGGCTTTTCAGATTGCTTAAAAAATACTTGACTCTAATAATAAATAAGTTGTAATTACTTTAAAAAAATATTTGTAAAAACAATAAATTCAATAAATTCAACGTTTTTTTGGACAATTTTGCATAAGGTGAGTTAATTTGGGGAATTTAAACTGCTGAAAAATCCACAAAAACTTTAATTAATGTCAGAATTTTGTTAAAAG